GTCAATATATAGCCTCTTCAGCTGATGTTTGGGGCGCTATAACATCTTTACTGAACGCTGACAGTTACTTTGCTTTCCATGTAAGTGAGGTTACAATCAGGTCTTATAATTTGTGACCAAGTATGGAATAGAAAGGAATAGTTAGCAGCATGTTTTTGCCCAAAACAATAATGTTTAACCTTTTTTTTTTTAATTTTATTTTATTTGTCAGACCTTGTGCAGATATCCAGTGACCACTCTGTGCAGTGCCCCAACTGCCTACCGCATGCTGGTACAGCATGACCTCACCAGGTACTGCACATCTGTTAACAAGTGACCATGCCATGTCTGTTCAAGCTATCGCCTGGCTCTTTTAACAGTGATTTCTATGGGCCCTCACAGCCACTTAAACTCTCAGTGGTGGAAAGTCCGTGTTGGACGCAGGGGCTGTGAGGAGGCAGAGCCTTTTCCTTAGCACTGCAGAGAGAGGTGGTGAAATCCACCCATCAGGCACCTCCAACCCAGAGCAAATTTTGCCCTGAGGCGTTACAGGGGCCAGTATTCAGCCCTTGAAGGCACATGTGTGGCTGCACTGCCATTAGTCCTGTGCCTCTTTGCAGCTCACCGCTTTGGCAGCCCCTTTCCAGCCCTAATCCAACTGGAGCTCTAGGCTTTCTCTCAACTGTAACCCTAGCTCTAAGAGAGTGCAGTGTGTCCAGAAGTCATGGGGTTGGCGACACGGATGTCAGGGAGAGCAGAATTTGTCCCTTTCTGTCATCTGATACTCAGCAATGTCCTCTGTCTACAAAGGTATGCATTCAAGACACTGAAGCACTGTTTGACTGGAGGTGAACCACTCAACCCAGAAGTGATGGCACAGTGGAAAAGCCAAACAGGACTGACTATCTATGAAGGCTATGGCCAAACCGAAATTGTACGTTCAGCTTTTTTTTTGTAAAGGGTTACAACTCAGCTGTCACTTAGGGGACTGACTACTTAAGCTGTAAAATATTTTTGTCCAAGACTCTCAGTGAAGTTCACAAATGTTTTGGCTCACACAGATGGAAGATTTAGATCTTAGGCTAGCTCAGCAGTGGTCATAGTACAAGAACAGAAATAGCCTCAGGAATGACAGTGAGAAATACCTGGGTTGGTTGTTTGTCTTTTCCAACAGGGAATGGTATGTGCAAATATGAAAGGAATGAAAATTAAGCTTGGTTCCTTGGGAAAGGCAGCTCCTCCCTACAATGTTCAGGTATGGTGGTCCTCTTTTGTGTGTGCTGTTGATTTCATAGGAAGTAAAACACAAGAGCGTACAACATACTGTACAAGTTTCGGTACCATACAGTGGTATTCAGGACAGGCTGACTTTTTTGGTTGAGCTGGTTAGTTTTAGAACATGACTTTCTTAAAATGGGAAGTTATGATCACCCATTTGCCTTTCCTATTGCAGATTATAGATGAAAATGGCAGTGTTCTGCCTCCTGGGAAAGAAGGAGACATTGCTATCAAAATGGATGCTAAGCGGCCATTTACTTTTTTCACTCGATACGTGGTAAGCCAAAAGTGAATTTCCAGAGAGCCAGTTCAGACCTGCAGTATGGTGTGTATTTATACCAACAGAGGCAGCTGCAACAAGAGCGAGCTGTGGCTTTTCCTCACTTGACAGTGGTCTGACTTATGAAACTTCCATTCACTTCCCCATTCTTCTGCAGACCTGCTGTGTCATCTTCAGTTCTGTGTCTTCCCTTGTGATAAGTTTTCCCCTCTGGAAGAAGCAAGCACAAGCTCTCACATTCTTGAGACAGAAAATAAGCAGTGAAAGATACTATGGGTCATGTCCAAAGAGGCAAAACTCACCTCTAAGCTTAAGGCTTCTCAATATTTAGAATACTTAATTGTTGCTTGTTCAACAGGATGATCCAGTGAAAACTGCTTCCACAATCCGTGGGAACTTCTATATCACTGGAGACAGAGGGAGCATGGATGAGGATGGATACATATGGTTTATGGGGAGATCTGATGATGTCATCATCTCCTCTGGGTTTGTAGATTTCAGTTAAAATGCCAATAAATGTCTAAAAAAATAACCATACACCTTTCACCTATAAGCATTTAATTTCTCTCTCTTAGGTATCGTATCGGACCATTTGAAATAGAGAGCGCCCTGTTACAGCACCCAGCTGTCGCTGAGTCAGCTGTTGTCAGCAGCCCAGATCCCATCAGAGGGGAGGTAATTAGAAGTCACTCTCCTATTCATGAAGTGCCTTGTGTGACAGAGCTTACACTCAACTTCCACTGAATTCATATGACTTTTATTTTAGCTATACAATCTTATCCATCACTTTACCCAAAGTGAGGGGAGCAGTAGTTTGTGTATCCCGTATACCCCTTTTTTTTTTTTTTTTAAATGAAAATATAATCCTTCGTTTCCTAAAGAACATGACACTGAATATAAAGGTGACTGGTAAGAATTGCTGTAAACTTTGACCCACTACCTGGAGAATTATATTCTTTAACAACCTGTGTTTACAGAAAAGGCCCTAGCATCTAAGCACTTTAAAACAGTCCTCTTACAAATTTGGAAGCAGAGCTTGAAACTTTTATAATGTATTACTTAGGACATTTACTAATGTAAGGCAGAAACAGTCTTTCATCCTAATTTTAAATTTGCTTACACAAAAGCAGATTTTGCTCTACTGCACAGGCATGATACAGCAAGCCTGTATTGCAGGCAATACTCCGTTATTCTCAATTAATTGCCTCATTTGTTAGGTTGCTCTAGTTTAATTAATACTGTATTTTTTATTTGTTTTCCCTTTGCAGGTCGTAAAAGCTTTTGTGGTCTTATCTCCTTCCTTTAAGTCACAAGATTCAAAGAAACTGGCCTGTGAATTGCAAGATCATGTCAAGAAAGTCACTGCTCCATACAAATATCCCAGAAAGGCAAGTAAACACGAGTGTATTTTAAAAAAAGAAATCTTAAACACTTGTATTAACCATGAGGAGGCTAGAAACAGAAAGATTAGACTCAGTTCAAATGCAGTAACAAACAAAAAAAGCCCAAATATGTGCTGCGCAAGAAATATGACAAGTATTATTTTGAAGATTTAGGAAAATAATAGATACAACACAATCTAAAACCAAATTACAGTTATTTTGCCAATCACCAAATTCTTATTTAAATTAAGTAGGATGGAGGCCTATGCTGTTCTGAAAAAAAATTTATAAATGAAATTTGCTCATTTTACTTTTTTCCTCTTTTGAATCAGATTGAATTTGTCCAGCAGCTGCCAAAGACAATCGCTGGGAAAATCAGACGGAATGAACTGAGGAACAAGGAATGGGGACAGATTTAGTTTTGATAAGCAATCTAAAAAAGCCTATCCCTATCAATTTTATTCATAATGGAGCTTTTCTATTACAACTGTAAGCACCAACATAGGATTGTATTATATTCCCAGAAATGGCCATAGATGTTGCATGCCTTGTATGAATCTTGAAAGCCTCAAGGTTCAGCAATCAGTATGTTAACAATGAAAGTTCAGTAAGTGCAAAGTAAAAGAATGCAGACATCTTTAAGACTGCAGCAAATCCAGCATCTAAATGTCAGACACAGGCTTCACAAATGGATGGTAGCTATTCAGCAGTTTCTTCTGAAGAACTGTAGATCCTGTAGGCACACAGATGAATGACAAAGAAGAGGGAAAAAAAAAAAGGACAAAACCCCACAAACTACCCATGACTGTATCTTTGTCCTTAGTAAGATAAGTAGCCTGTCTTGAATCGTGATGACCGACATCAGCCACCAATAAACATTTACAGTTGGCCTTCCTCTCTGGTCTCAAATGGTTCTTTCCTATGTGTGACCTAGACATTGCTGGTTTTAATGCATACACAGAAAGCTTTAAAATTTAAAGAAAACACTGATGGAGGTAAGAAAGCAGAGTTTTAATAAATGGGTGGTAAGAGAGACAGAACTTGGTTAAAAAAGTAATCTTAATTTTCCAACTTCTAAAGCAGTTCTGAGAGAAGAGGAAAATATAAATTAAACACTGTTGAGAGACTTGAACACATCCTTTTCATTAAACCAAGACAGGTAACAAGTGGTGTTCTTCAAGATGAGTCTTTTCCCATTAGCAACCCACAGGCTTTTATGCTAGAAATTAAATACTAAAGCTAGACAGTTGTACAGGAAGCATACTCAAAACCCTATTGGAAAGCAGGTTATAGCTGCACTGGTTTTGGTTGTTTTCTAAAAGTCACTAGGATTTCAAAAGAGCTGCTGTAGCAGACAGACAACAGAAAGACTCACATTAGTTTCAATCTGAAACAAAATGAATGCTGTAAAGCTAAAACTGTACCAAAAATTAAACTTAATTTCCCTTATCGAAGATAATATAATGGAGAGCTTCTTTCATAAGATATTTTAAAGCAGTATTTAAATTCAAGTTTTGAGACCTAAGAAAAAAAATAAAAACAAAAAAAGACTTTATAAAACCCCCCAAGGATTAAGTCTTTGGAAAGAACAACAAAAGGCTATTTGCAGGAAATTATTCAAAAGGATTCCGTTCAGTGACTACATCATTTCTTATAAACCAATAATAGCTGTATACACAGCTAATGTAAACACACATGTAGTTTTTGCTAAAACCATCTGCAATGCCTGCACTGTACTTCTGCTGTTCTAGAGCAGTGAAATCCATTACTCCAAATTGTCTCATAATATTCAAGAATTTTGATCATAGCAATTTTTCCCATTCACTTTAAAGACTTAGCATATCCTTGTAGAGCAATGTGTATATATATGTATCTATAACCCTCCATCATACAGGAAATTACCGTTTTAGCTCATTCTGTTGTTCACACAGAAAAATGTATCCGAGTTCTGCAGTCACACAAGTTGTCAAATCACTTCCTTAAAAACCCTCTGCAATCAACTGTCTTTTTGAGATCTCTCACTTCCATCAGTAATTCCTGATAGAGCTGATTCTGCACTGCCTTTTGGTTTCTGTAGCCATCAGATATAACAAAGGAGAGTCAATGTATGTCAGGATGGCCACATTTACCTACGCATGCACACACTAGTGCTTTTTGTGCTAGGTAAAGGCAATGCAGAACAAATCCACAGAAGAATGATAGCAAGCTTCACCAGAAAGGTGATGCACTTTTACATCTGCTGTAATGTCAGCTCCACCTGCAACGAGCACTACAATTCTTACACACGTGGATTTTAAAAACAAGATTGCAAAACAAAACCCACTCTCCTCTTTAAAACGCCCTTTCAGAACTCTAGGGGAATATTTTTTTCATAGGTTTCAACTGTATTTACCTTTCCCTTCTACCACATTTTCTACACTGTCAGCACATCATTCCCCTTGGGCTCAGCTTCTATTTCACCCTGATTCTTGTTCTCTTGTTTTACTTCTTTTGAGCTCTTCTCCTCCTCCTCAGTTTCTGGTTTTACTACCTTCGAGTTCTGTTCTTCCGTCAGACTTGATGAGTTTTGTTGTGTGTCTTCTTTGTTGCTCTTCACCACCTCCTGTAGATTGTATTTTCTGAACAGAACATAGTCTCTCACCACACTCAAGCAACAGACGCTTTTTATTATTTCCACCACAATTGTATATTGTGGGTTATTAAGATCGACTTTGTTTTCTGGATTGAGGCTGCCCACAATTCCTGTAAAACAAGATGGTGTTTAAAAGATGCTGGAAAATCTGTTTCAGAGCATAAGCATGCCCTATTGAAAGGATAAAAGTTAAGAGAAGGCAGCATCCCCCTTAGTTGTAACCAATTACTCATTTTTGTAATTGCTAAAAATAGCAGAACAGGGCTCACAATATAGCACCAGTAGGACTGAACTAACTGAAAAACTATCCCACTGCAATTACCAAGAAACAAAATACTCAAGTAAGGTGGAGCTATTTTATGAGTCATATAGTCAATGGAAATAGTAACATATTATTTCAATATAGCATCTAGAGAGAAAGCCTGATAGCAGTCATTTCAAAGCACATACAACTGATACTCCAAATTATATTCAACACTGTACTCTCTTCTGCTTGTTGTCTCTTAAGTCATCAACACAAACAAGGAATATTGATGTCACGCTTTTTTAAGTCTTAGAAAAACTTTTGTAATTCAACATACAGACTTTAAGCAACAAATATGTATGCCCACTAAGACCACTTTTAATAATCTGACCTATGTTATGTATGCAGTTGTGCTTATATACTTGTCCTTACTTTTGTGTGAAATCCATACATACCTGCCAATTCCTTAATTACTTCTTCCCTACTCATATGACTGTTATTACGAGCTTTGTAAACAATCTGAAAAGTACCCTTATTAGGGGCTTTAAACCAAGGCTCAAAAAATGTTTCTGTGTATTTTTTCATATCCTCCATAAAAGCCTTGCAAGTTCCAGAAATGGGCAGCATGCGCAGAATGACTCTCGTTTTCTTCTTTTTAGTGGCATGCATGTCCTTTAATATATGGTGCACCAGGCTCTCAGGTTCTACAAGAAAAACAGCTAGGCATTAGAAACAAATTGAAGGCGTTTTCTCCCTTCTTCTCTCCTCTAAATAATAAGCTGGTGAAATGCATGCTTGGCTGCACTGCTGTCAGCCTCAAATCCTTTCCTGTAAAGAGTTGCTTTACTATACCAAAACTGGATAATCAAAGATTATTTTGTCAAAGCAGATTCCTCTACCTTTAGTGACTCCGCTAATGACAAAATTCAGTCACAATGCCCAAAGGGAAGGCGAAACTCTGTATTTGTTTGGTATACACAGCTTTCTTGGAAGTCATGCTCTGTGGCCTGTTACTAACGCTGTTCAGAGCAGTTTATCCCCACAGCATTACACAGCATCAGTGGATGTCTCACCTATGCCCCGGGTTCTGATGAAGACCACGTTGTTGGCACCACTCTCCCGCCGCAGCTTCTGCTCCGTCGAGGCACGGATCTGGCCAACCTCCTTCTTCAGGGCAGCCTCAACATCGTCCTCATCCTCCTCCCTCTCGCTTCCAGACAGCCGCTCCTCGTGATCTGAAAACTTAACACAAGGCATGTCTCTTGTTTGATGAGTACCGAGTTAACAGTGCCCACAACTTAAAAACCAGTGAGGCACCATCACACCCAAGGGCCCAGAGGTGACAGGCAAGGGCCTTTTCTCGAGCCAACCCGAGGGGCTGCGCTGGGGTTTGCTTACAGAAACCGGCATTTTCGTGTGTCTGGTGAACACAAACAGGTTTTTTTACATACGTAAAGGGAGAGGAGGCCTCACGGCGCTGCTCTCCCT